CAGGGCTCGATTTAGTACTAGCCCGGCGTACAATGTCTAGTAAAAACCGCTCAAGGCTAGCTTATTTACTCCTCACCCCGGTTGTCTAGTGGAGAATTAGCAAGAAAAACATTTTATTAAAAAAAAAAAAAAAAGCGGAACTTTCGAGACAATCCCTGCCCTTTGTTAAATATTAGAAAGCCAAAGTTATAACCAGGGAGATGTAAAACATGCTCATGAATCTGTCCCTGTTATAACCAGAGTTGATTTTGCATCATGGGTGATTTTTTTATTTATTTATTCAACAATATTTTGAGAGGGTAGCTCAAACAGCAATGCTACAGAAATTATGAAATTGCAAATCAACCTTCAAATTTAATTGTCGCTAATAAATATTTTGAAACAAAATTTTTTCCTGTCTGTGGGCTAGTAAAATATTCTGTGGGCTAGTAAAATCTGTAGTAAACTAGCCCAGTGGGCTAGTTACCAAAAAAAGTTAGGGCAAGCCCTGTATATATATATATATATTATATATATATTTTTAATATATATTGTTAATATATTTTTTAATTATTATAATTATATGTTTAATTATATATTATTATATTTTTATTATTATTTTTATTATTTATATTGCTGTGCATAATGATACCCATTTGCACTGATTTCTGGGAGACTATTGATAATAAAGTAGTAAATCACAATACAGATACTGTAGAGTAGGTGTTGTTTAAACACTTTTGGTGCTAGTGCATATAAGCTTGCTAATATGGATAATGTTTTCATTCCTGATGATGACATAATTAATGTCGAAATATTGAATCCCAACACGATGGCGTGTATTTCAATACTTGGAGTATGTATTATACTTCTTTCTTATCTGAGATTAATCAGTGGACCTTTCGATACTGTAGACATAGATGGAATTAATTTGTGCTTACGCATGTGTTAGTTTCTTTCTTATCGGTCAGAAAAACACTGCCACAAAAACACTTTTGAATCAAATATGACCTTGATAATAAAAAAAACATAAATATGATTACTAATGCGTACTTGCCTCAAAATGACGTCAGTCCATACCCGATTACCAATCATGTCTCACTATCTATTATTGCCTACATTTTGCATTTCTATCAATATCTATTAATATGCCACCAGCAGAAATGCTCGCTATTATTGCATACATTTTTGGTTTATTTTATGATGTCCAAATTCACTTTCTGGGTGGCTCTGCACTGCTGCCAGTTCCCACTACCATAGCTCAAATTGTCTATAACGCAACAGTCACACTACAGCCTCAAGCCTGGGTTGACTCAGTGCGGTTGAGATATCATGCCTGGCATGAAAATGTCCAGTGACCACACTTACATGGGTTGATTCACCTCAGACAGTAGAAATCCTTGAGTATAAACTGCCAGCTCTGATTGGTCACAGTAGATTGGTAAATTCCAGGTCAACCCTGAGTCAAAGCCTGGGCTGAGAGCAAAAGTCACCAAGTCATTTTGTTTATCTATTCCAGTGTGATGTATGGATCATATGATAAAACTGGACCTAATCTGTATATGGTGGATCCTTCAGGAGTGTCATATGTAAGTTTTTAAACAATGATGATAATGATAGAAAGAAGGGGATGATTATGATGATAAAATTAATGGTATCCACTGGGAAGATTTTCTCTGTTCACCTCATCCCAAAAATGTACTAAATAAAACTTACTTTCTTTATTAATATTTAACTAGAAAGTCCCACTCAGCATGACTGATTTTCAGTGGAGTCCTCTCACATAAAAACTTACAAAATCCACAGTAAAATAAACAACCATTAAAATAGGTATATTTCTTGAATACAGGTGTCTCTGTAAATAAAGACATGGCCCCTCCAATTAAAGACCTCCAATTAAAGACCACTTTTCTCTGGTCCCAAATTTACAAATGTCTTTTATCTTTTTTATTCTAATTAGAGACCAAAGACCATGGAAACCCCTGGTCCCAGGCGTGGCCTTTAATTTGATAGTTGTTTGCTGTTTCATTTGTTGCCGCTTTCCTTGCCTATGTTGCCTAGTTTTAATCTACTAAATTATGAAGTTTCAATGCTTATTCTTGTGTTTTTCTTCTTCAATCAAGGGATATTTTGGCTGTGCAATTGGCAAAGCAAAGCAGACAGCAAAAACAGAAATTGAAAAACTGCTCACCGCTGAAAAACATGTAAAAGACATGACCTGTAGGGATGCTATTAAGGAAGCTGCTAAAATGTAAGTGTCTTATTATTATTATTATTATTATTATTATTATTATTATTATTATTATTATTATTATTATTATTATTATTATTATTAATTTTTATTTATTTTTATTATTATTTTATTATTATTGTTATTATTGTTGTTGTTGTTGTTTATTTTTATTATTATTTTATTATTATTGTTAATTTTATTGTTATTATTATTATTGTTATTATTATTATAATTGCTAAAAGTTCAAGTGTGTATTTGTGCTTTACCTAAACAACAAGTAAATAAGAGAAATATAAGTTAGTGGAAATATGACATTTTTGAAAAGAGAGGTGGAATACAGTACCCGTTATAGTGAAGACAAATTTGCCATTTTCCAAACTTCAGGACCCAAACCTGTCTGACCGATGGTCACATATTTCGGCCTTTTGTTCGGGGTATCATAGCACAGTCAGCTACATTGGTGCTTAGACGAGACTTTATTATACTTTGATAGCGAAACCTGCTGTCCACCAATGATGATGATTTTGAATATAGATAAAATTTTATTTTTTGCCAATTAGTGCACCTGTCACGTCGAAAAATTGGAAATTGAAAAAAATAAAGGCTTTTCTTTATTTTTATTGCACCTGCCGCTGCCTTGAATTCTCCAGAAATAAGATATGTATATTACTTCCTAGTTATATGAATTTAAAGCATTTAACTATCCCATTACTACACTGTTTACATTCAACAATAAAATTTTATTTTTATTTTCTCCTCTGCCTGGATGATTTTGGCAAAACTATTTACTAAATAAGAAAACAAAAATGTATTTATTTCCTTCGTCCTCTGACGATCTATAAAAATATAAGTTTGCAAAACAAGATATAAAAAAGCTTCACCTTACCGCCGTGCAGTGGTGGCACCAAGATTTGCCCAACGGCAGTGGGCATGGTCGAGCGTCGCTCTAAATCTCTCTAAACTATTCCGGGGGACCAAAGCCTAAGAAAAATTCGATTTGGGGTTTCAAAAGCTTGTAGAATGTAGATATATATTTTTTTTTCCCCAGACGAATTGTGGTTTTTCTCTGGGCCCCCACGCTGCCGGGCCCCCACGCTGTCGCTACCCCTTCCCCACGTGCAATGTATTGTTTCAACTTTGTGTAGGTTCCATGATACGCTCTGATGAGATTTTTTACCAATTAAAAATTATATTGACCATGGGTTTTTGTTTTTTTTTAAATTAAAATTCTTATTTTAATTTGTTTAGAATATATTCTGTCCATGATGAAGTAAAAGATAAAGCATTTGAATTGGAGTTGAGCTGGGTGGGCGAGGTGAGCAATGGAATTCATCAGATGGTACCAGCAGAAGTGGCCGCTGAGGCAGAAAAATGCGCAAAGGTATGTAGCGTCTAAGTCTGGTGCTTATATTTTTGTGAGCAACACAATTTCCAGCTTCTGGATAATAAAGTTAATCTGTATCTGTATAAACAATTGACATGTCGACAAGGACGCGAAGCCCCGCCCACAAAGTCACGAAAACCTTAGACAATGGCGGCTAGACTTACCGAGTTGGCGAAGATTTTCTTTGCTATGAACCTTCTTTAACAAAGAGAATTCAGGGTAGGCGGTATGCAAATGAATCATATATTCATAGTGTTAATCTATTTCATGGACCATGGCAGGGAAATTGTTGTAAAAGCCTGCGAGAAAAAGTTTTTGATCACGTGACTAAATGACGCTCGCTTATTAGTCGGTTTATCTGTCAATCAAATCTCGTCGAGATGTTAATTAAACTTGATAAATTTCAGATGTGAGATTGGAAACTTTCAATTTGATTTAAACTCTTATCATTTTGCCCATTTTTATTTAATTTCATTTTGCTTGTTTGCAGGAATCATTGGCAGAGTCATCAAGTTCGGAAGATGACGACTTATAAAAACCAGATTTTGTATTTAGGATTCATGTTATTTCGCTTATTAAGTACAGCGTGTAGGGCCAACATTTGTGTTTGCAAAAAATACTACTGTTGTCTACCACTTACAAACTTTTGTGTCAAGGTGTAACAGACGGCGCAATGCAAGTAATTTCGTGGACAACTTTTGGATTGTCAATTAAAAATGCTGGCGTCTCACTCAGTTCCACAGACAGTCCACTGGCTATCTGGAATGATTTTTTTTTTACTAGAAAAAGCATAAAATGCATTTTTTTTTTATCAAGTTTTTTCAATCTGGATTTGAATATAAACCATACCGTTCCCTGCGTGGTGAACATGATAATAGACAATTCTGTGACAGCACTACTTGCGCCAAGCAATTAGTGCGGGGGTCAGACTTCAGAATGCTGGGGATGCTGTTTTCTAGAGTATACCATATAGTCATGAGAAATTAAAGCCAGTAACAGATGGACTAGTCTGTTTGCTATAGTTGCTGAATAGCACAGATATTTCAGCACTAGAATGATGTCCGAAAATGGGTTATTTTGTGCAAAAATTGTGAGGCATCTATTTCATTCATCATTGGAAAAGGCCTTCTTTTATTTATGATTGCTAAATTAATACTCGACAAATAACATGAATACTGGTGTTTGTCTTCAGTGACTACCATTAATTGGTAGGATTAAATGTTATTATGGCTAATATTAAAAAATAGTTCCCCCAAAATGCTTTGAAGCAGTATTCTATACCCGTTACAGCTAAAAAACACCATTGTTGTTAGGATTGTTGATTGTTTTGATATATTGACCCTGATCTACATAATATTTAATAGAAATGATAATATTTGTCAATACTTAAACACAAATTGAGAATAAAAATTTATAATATGACAGAATACATGATGTTATAATATTGTTTTTTTTTTTAAATTTCTGAATTCCAAAGAATCGCATACACTTTATAGAGTAGAGTACTGTATTGCATAATGAAATACTGTACAGGACGAACAAAATATTCTATATTGAAGTTGTGAAGTAACATTAATGTAGTATCATCATTATGATTCAATTATTTTCTTCATCACAGTCATAATCATCATTATCATTATTATAACCAATAATGCATCTAAGTACTTTACTTAGTGTGGCTTCAAGTGGAAATCACGGTGGTAACTTTTTGACGTGCTTTTTTAACACCAAGTTTTGAAACAATAGGGATGAAAATATATATCATACAAAATTATAAATCTTCAGGATGCTTTACATCATTGTCAAAATTAGGAACTTATAGTTACTCACCGACGAACTTTTAAGTGAAATTAAAATAGCCTTTTTTAAAATGAACATTATGGTACCATGTTTTTTAACCAATTGAAAAGGCACGTAATAATCTTTAAAAAGCAGAAAGATAATAACCAAATATTAGCAGCTTTTTTCAGGTTGTAATGGAACATTAACGTAATTAATATACCAGTAGTAGGCCTATTGGTTCAACTTTAAAATTCGGTAAAAAGATCGGTTTTTGAAGTCTGGTTTTTGAAAACCGGGAATTTTTAGTGACTTAGGCAAGACTTCTTTTATACCTTATGTTTTTTTAAAGATTATCACAGGAGGGCGGAAAAAATAAAATTTTGTTTTCTTATTTCAACATCCAGACGGGGGAGTAAATAAAAATAAAATGTTATTGGTGGTGAATGTTAACAGTGTAGTAATGGGATGGTTAAATGCTTTAAATTTATATAATTCCGAAGAAATAGTAGGTCTATACATATCTTATTTTTGGAGATTTTAAGGCAGTGGCGAGCGTAATAAAAATAAAGAAAAACTTATATTTTTATTCTGAAATTTCCATTTTTCATAGCAGCGGGAGCGCTAATTGGTCAAATATATATATATATATAATATGTTTTTATTCGAAATTATTATTAGGGGGCGACAACAAATATATTTGGCAAATAGTTTTTACTTTAAGGATGTGCGGGTAACGGAGAGCAAAAACAAATATTAGATGATCTGGGGGTGCGTCCAGGAACATAAATGTGGGTAAGCTGATGAATATATATAGGTTGCTTAAACAGAAGTACTTTGAAAGTAAGTGTAAGTTTTGAACTTAATGCGAAAATAAATGGGAAGCCAGTGGAGGTCGCGGAAAACAGGGATGGTATGTGAGATGGAAGTTTTGTGAATGTTATAATTCGTGCAGCGGAGTTTTGAAATAGACCAACATATGATGGTTGAAATTAGGATTTGGTGCTTCTTTGGGACCCTTTGGCAAAGACTTTTAACTCAGTACCCATTTGACTATGAGCCCGCGGCTTCTCCCCCTCCCCTCAAGAGCTCATGGACGTTACGCCACTGCTAAACGTCTAAGACTAAATTGATTGATTAATACCCAGCAAATAATATTAATTTGGATGCGTCGCTTAGTATTTAACTTGCTAACATTGGGATTGTTAACTACAGCAGGTATGTCCAATAATCAATTGTATTATTATTTTAGAAATAATTTCCATGAAATCGGATGACAGGAGGCTTAGATACTTAAAAAGTTATAGAAACGATTAGCACTATAATAGTAACTACTGCTTGATAATATATTACAATTCACATTCACGGTAAATCATTTGCATTTTTTTTTCTCATTCGCATCCAACAGCAATTACAGGATAAATATGTTTACTTTCTTATTGTGATAAGTTTTATTTTTCATTTTTTTCACTGAGGCCAAAGTGTGAATAATCCGTTGCATTTATTCTTTTAAATAACAATTCATAGTTTTGCAATATAAGTTATATAATAATCGCTCTGCTTTTTACATGCATCTATTGTTACAGTTTCGTATTGTTTAAGATCGCTGTTACGTAATGGAGGTATATCAAACGCCGTAGCGTTGCATCGCGGCACATTGGAGCGCTTTTGTGTCACGCTTTGTATACAACTTTTTTTATTGGTTGGTCAATTATGTCACGTGACCATATATTCAGAATAAAAGTACAGTAAGTCATATCTCCTATGTAGTTATCATATGTTCTGTTAAAGTCCTATATTCAGAGATTTCAACCAATTATTACACTATTAATTACCGTACGTTACAATCCATAAGCACTTTGCTTACAAAATGGCAGCTGATTGTTGCAGAAGACTCCGATGGTATGAGCTGTATTCATATTCAACAACATTTCGAGATGACATCGAACTGTCAAGAGAGGACCTTCTACGAACAGAAATGGATGCAGACCACGGATGCCATCGTCTAAGTCCATCAAGTGAACTCAAATCGTCATCGGGGGATGAATCAGTGTGTGATTTGCAGCATTCTGGCACAGATCATATATACTGTGACTCTGACGATATCAGCGTTGGTGTTTCTAGCATCCTCGATGATGAGGACTGTGTGATATGTGGCGGCATCAGTGGTGATGAGCTGTTAGCCGAGTTCGGAATGGGACGACTTTGTAAGTAGGCCTCTATATATTGTGGTATTTATTCCAGCCCTCTCTAAAAGTCTCATATATGCTAAGTCGAATCAACAGTAGGCTACTGTAAATTTTGCTGCAGTTCGAAAATTGTTTGTGTATTCATCGGCCCTACACAATTCTAAGAGAGAGCCAATGTTTTTTTAATTTAGAATACATTATATATGGTTTAAAGATGCTTCTTGTTTATTACGCATTCATAAATTCAAAAACGAATAAACTCAATTAATCGTATATAAATATTGGCTCTGTGAACCACTGATTTTAATAGGCCTATTTTAGTAGGGGTCCCAAATCTCCCGGAAGCCGCGGGAGTCTCCCGGAAATCGGGACGACCGCATGCCTCCCGGACTCCCGCAAGCAAACAATCTCCTGGAAAATAACCCATTCTCCGCACATGAAATTTGAATGTTTTTTGCCATTTTAATATCAATTATTTTTCTCACGGAAGTCAGTGCCGATGTGTAATTTACATGCACAGCAAAATAAGAAAGCCCATTAACCAGATCTCCCGGTAGGGTTGTCTTCCAATTTAAGGCCCCTGTTATAGGCAAATACGTTTTTTGTTTCTGTTTTTGTTTTTTTTGCTTTTTAAAATTGTTTGTGATAGTCTGGTAAATGGTTAACAATAGATCTAACTAAAATATATTATGATGAATAATAGGTGCAGCCGCGTTAGTCTGCTATGGAAAAATATAAGAAATGACAAATCTCAGGAATAGTACTGTAATATTGATTTTAAAAAATAGGAATAATAATAATAATAAAACTAGTTTAAAATAATAATAATAATAATAATAATAATAATAATAATAATAATAATAATAATAATAATAATAACGATAACAGTAATAACGATAACAGTAATAATAACAATATTAAAAATAATATTAATAACCACTTATGTCTTACGATGAATTAAAGGGGTAGCCGCGTCTGCTATAGAACAATATAAGGGTAAATTTTAAAACTATAACATTTATAATACTATAGTCAATCGTCATCTCTTCAAATAATCATGTAATGTATATATTTTTTTAGGTGCATCACCCATTTTGAAAGCTGCATCGTGTACCGATAATGATCTTGATGAGATTGACTACGATGAAGTATTTAGCTATGATTTCTACGAAGCACCCGCCTATGGATCTTCAAAGCTCGCCACTCAACAATCATCAGCTACCAAATACCAGACTATACAGAAAGTGTCTGCTTACCTGAAGTCATTGGTACTTAGGAATAGGCCAAATTAAATGTTGCTCTTCATCTATTAATTATATTTTCGTACATATTTTAAAACACTAATAAAAGCCTAATTAAACAGTATTGAATTTGCCTAATCTGGGAGATACATAGTCTTGAATATCAAATTGTATATATTGTATTTTATATCTGTTTTTATACTTGTTTAATGGACCACAACAATAAGCCTATATGCTACGTCGCTTTTTGGGTGATGCTGTACTCGAACTAGTTTGATGTTTATGTCCGTCAACTTATGTTTTGTTTTGAGCGTAATAAAGAACGAATGAAAAATGAATGTGCGTAGACTCGCTGTATACTGTCGCATGTTGAAGACCAGATATCAGACCTTTGTATTAATTTATGATATTGATATAGTAATCCAAGTTAAAATGGACATATATATCATTAGTATCATTACCGTCTAAAATGATTGAAATGTCAATAACATACGATTGTTGTTTGGCTCTATGTTGGAACAAGACAGTTGATATAAAATTGGAATTGATAGTCCACTGTTTTAATTTGCTATAGTCTTATACTGGACTAGGCACTGTCAGAAAAGTGTCGTGTATTACTACTGTATTAGTTCAGTAGTTCAGTGTGTGGGGAACAGACATATAGCCTTCACCAGCGAAAATGATGAAAAACATCATGAAACAATATATCAAGTACGATTATATATACATATATACATGAATATATATATAATATATATAGGGCCTATATATAGGCCCTATGTGTGTGTGGGTGTGCGTGCGTGCGTGTGTAATACGTAGGTGGTAGTAGATTTGCCTCAAAATTTATTGAGAGAACAATATAACTATAGGCCTATAGATAATTAGTACTAGGGCTGTCTCTTATACACATCTAGATGTGTATAAGAGACAGGTATTATATAATACCCTGATTCTGCAGTTCGTATCTCTGCTTGCTTTTGGTGATGAAAGCCTTCCCTTCCATTCCTTCCAGCCAGGTACATTCATCAGCATATTTAGCGTGTTCATAAAAAGGGTCATCATTTGGTTCCCAAGCATCAAGCCCAAGACCACAGTAAAAGCATTCCACATAATCTCCAGAACCTTGAAAGAAAAATCCTGCCTTCGCAAGCAATTTTTTATCAGGTTTTATATGTGGCCAGCCAGAAAAAGTGTTTAACCTATCTCTTTCTTCAAATAATGTGGGAAATCTCGCAGCTGATTCATTTAGCATAGCTCCTTCACCATAATAGTTCCCATCGCTGTATTTTACATTTGACCCCACCTTGGCAGACTGCTCAGGTGAAGGCCCAATAAAAAACATTTTATTTTGCTCTGTATCAGTATAATTTGATGTGTCTCTACACTTTCCGTCAGCAATCATTTTCATCACCATTAACAGACCTATTAGACTTTCTATGATTCTTATCAACACGATGGCAGTGTCCGCTAAATATTCTGTAAACATAAGGTGTTCCTCTATCTCTTCCACGATTTTTGATGCATTCTCAATTTCCCACTCATTAAGTAATAATCTGGCCTTTATATAAAGGGCGAGTAAGATGGGATGAAGCACAAACTTGTGAGGGTAAAAACGCTTAAAGTGGTGCCACAACAGTTCATCAGGAGCCCACACACCCAGTTTCCAACTTGTGTCTGTGTGTACCTCTATACAAATAAGCCTTTCAATATAATCGCTGTTTTCCTCAAGGTTAGAGAGTACAGGTTCAAGTAATGCCAGCATCTTTTTCAGTTCTTTACAATTACCCATTAAATAATGGTATTTCATTACATGAATTCGACCACCAATGCCACGATCACTCCACTGACCAGGAAATACCATTTCACCACCTAATTCGTAGTATTGTAACGGTTTAACTTGGTGAAGGTTCAGATCTTCATGGGAACATCTGTTTCGTAAGAATATCAACAGAGAAGTATACACATCGCCTAATGTTCTATACAAATGAGTCTTGAAAAATCCCCCACACCCCTTTGGTATTATCTCTTGGATATTATCTACAATTGGCAGCATTATTTCCATTGAAACCCTAAGGATGTCTGAGGGATGTGCATTCTGGTCGATGAGAGTTGTTAGAGTCATTGGCAGGATCGTAAGTTCTGCATCTGCCTTCTTTGTAATTTTGGCATACTCTATTAAATCATATTTGGAATTTAACTGCAGAAGCGCTGATTGAATTACCTCTGTAGCCAATGAGTGATCCAAGAGATGTGCCTTCAGTGATGTGTAGTCTTCATTGACTTTTGTGATATTAAGACTATCACATATATAATTCACGATATCAAGCTGAAAACTACCTTCGTCGACACCAGACATCATAATCATTCTCCAAAGATCTTCCTTAACAACAATCAACTTTTCTCTTACATCTTCACAACGTTTCTTTGATAGGTGACCGATCAGATTTTGCTGTGGAACAAAGTAATGGGGCAGAATTCTGCGTTGATAGCAATTAATAAGCCAGTCTAGGGCTATTCTAATCAAATCCATGACGTTGTTATCTGTACATGAGAATGATTCACACATCCACAAGCAAGCGGTCTTTATAAAATATGAACAGAAGGGCGTTGGTTTCTCAGATTCACTGAATACAATGTACTTTTTCTTGAGCATTTTCAAGGCATACATGCATTTAAAGTGCGGTCCATACATCTCGTGTATAAGCTCTTTCTCGGCTACGGAAAAAGACAATCTCCATTCAATATCCTTTGATGTAGTACTAGGGTGTGCAGCAGCAACTACAAGACAATCTAGACCAGAGACCCTGTTCAGCAGGGCTTCAGAAGGCCAGTTGTTTATTCTTACTCTTGTAAAAAAATCGCTGGTGATAGACGGCCATAACTGGCATTTCAAACAGAACACAGCGTCCATAGAGTTCAACACAAATGACATGCCTTCCAAGTCCAAACTAGTTGCTAAAGCAGGGCCTTGTATTTTTATATCATTATCATGATTGCTTATAAAATTTATTAAATTTACGTTCATAAAATCGCTGCTCTTCAGATATCCACCTTCATCCGTGGTACCACCTCTTAACCCACCGTTTAAACACCCTTTGTCAAGTACCGGTACCCTTAGTCTCAGATACGTCGGCTCATTTGGATTCTTTTCAGCTGTTAAATACCCTATTCTGTGTGTTCCGCTTGCAGGGGGTTGCCATATTACCAGTGGAAATTCTCGCATCCTCATCATATTGTCCTGGTCGCCACAGACGTCATCTGGCATGCCTTCATGCGCGCTTCCAGATGGGTACATATAGAATGGCCACATACATTTTTTAAACACAGCGTCCATCGTTTCTTGTTCAATCCTCTCTAAACAAGTATAAGCCAATCGGCTAGCCGTTTTTAAGCCAATAATTTCACCAGCAAGTTCATCTATCATTCGATGTGCTTTTGTACTGTCAGCCATGTTTGTGTTTTGCATATATCTTCAATTGACATTCACAATACCACCCTGACAAAATAAATAAAAAAAAAAGTAAAAACACCACTGAAAAATGAAAGAATACAAAACACGGTGAAACTCACATTTTTGTTGGAAATGTATTTTTGATTATTTAAAAACTGGGGAAGAAGGTTCGTAACCACCCCTTTTTCACCTTTCCCCCCAGTCCTTAAATATTCAAAAGTCTGTACCAGTATCACATTAACAGTTTTTTGTCAAACACCTCTTTTGTGTCTTTATAGAAAAATCAGTTTTACAACATATCAATTTTTTCCCTTTCGGAGCCTGGCTTTAACTTAGAAGCGCACTGTGTAGATGTCTAATGTAATACTGTATGCTAACGCTTCTTACACTGGTGGTAACAGACCAAGTGTTAGTCAACAATACATTTTGAAAAAAGGCTTATTTTAGTACCACTTTTTAGTCGGATGTGATTTATGAGGCTCATATCAGAACAGAAATTATGTCAGTACAACTGACTATGGTTCGAATCATTCCTCAGTTTTTCACAAATGCATATACAGTATGAACATACTTCATATAGTCACAATAGGCCTATATAAATCATGTTTAATGTGAATGAGGATAAAAACTCTGTCACCACACCTGAGTGAACATCAACGAAAAACATCCACTGACGGCCGGGAAGGCCTAACCAAGCGCAACTCGGTTAAACTTCAAAAGTACTATTCAATCGAGCTGTTTATGGGCCTCAAATGTGTATCTACCTGTTCCACGAACTTCTACTCTCGGACGAGCCTCAAATTTCATTACGTTTATCTAGTGCTTTATGAAGTTTGGCTATACATTTACCGTGATTGTAAACTCAACGTAGGCCTAGCGATATTTCTTCCTGTTCTGGTGTTTTTCCCACACACCAACGGTGTTTTCCCACGCAACAAAAACGCTAGGACAATTGAGGGCGCAGCTTCATCACAGCCTCAATAAGGCCTAAAAAAATTGTTTGTTTGCCCTCTTTTATAAATGATAAAAAGGGGCGGGTAGAAAAAGGGGTTTTTTTTTCAAGATTATATGGAATAAAAATAACCCACATCTTAATCATCATCATAATCATTATTATTATTATTATTATTATTATTATTATTATTATTATTATTATTATTATTATTATTATTATTATTATTATTATTATTATTATTATTATTATTGTTGTTGTTGTTATTACAGTATTATTATTATTATCATTATAGTTATAATAATAATAATAACCCACACCATAATCATCATTATTATAATAATATTATTATTATTATTAGTATTATTATTATTATACTGTAGTTATAATAATATTAATAATAAATAATAATAATAATAATAATAATAATAATAATAATAATAATAATAATAAATAATAATAAATAATAATAATATTAATTAGAGGCCAAACCTCGAAACCCTGGTCCCAAAAGTAGGGAGACCTGTATTCTAATTGAAAAATAATTATTAATATAATTAAATGTATTATATATTTGTCAAAAAGATAAACTAAGTGCAGTCTGGCCTACTGTATTTTAAATTAGAAATATTATTGGTATGAAAACAGTTGCGAATAATTATTAACAATGGTGGCTATAATTTGCCTTTCCGTTTTCTATCAATTTTACTGAAACAATTCTTACAGTGATTATTTTGAACATCCCGAGCCATTTCTTCTGGCCATTTTACCGAATAATTAGTTCAAGTGATTGAAAAGTGGTTGGAATCTTGTTTGAAAATAATTTAGATACTTATATATATATATATATATGTATATATATATATATATATATGTATATATATAAGTATCTAAATAAGTATATATATCTAAAATAACAAATAGTTTATAGTATACATGGCACTGTTGATGTCTATGAGAGTAAATAATGAAAGTAGAGAGCTAAACATAGTGGCCCATACAAAATGAATGAAAGTAAGTAGCTCTCTACTTTCATTATTTACTCTCATGGACATCAACAGTGCCATGTATAAGCTATTTGTTATTTTAGATATACGCCCTTTATTATTATGTTAATGAGACAAGATGATCTGTCTAAACTATTTGATTATGTCTTCACTTACACGCTGAAGAAGATTGTAGGAAATATACGTGAAAATTATAACCACAATTTTCCTTTACTCGATCGGGGCTCTCTGTATTGTGCATTTATTATTTAAAATAAACTACGGTATGTTTTAAAATCTTTATACAGGTAGGTGCATTTTTTTTTCATTACCATTAGGCGGCGCTAAGTAATTGCTCACTAATTGAAGGTTCCACTTAATAAACCCAACACAGCAACCACATTCTATTATTACTATCTTATTAACTTTGCAGAATAATAATGTTATCATCATATTTACGTAAATGCCCTATTATAAATATAACTACATTATATTATTGACCATAAATCTTTTTCTTCTGCCGCATCGACACTTCGGAATTCACTCCCTGCACACATTGAACACTCTTCTGTTGCTTCATTTAAAATATAACAATCAAGATCCATTTTTTATATATTTTATTGATATAAAGCTATGAGAAGGATTGTTGCATTTTGGGGTCAATCAGTGCAAATTGTATCGGTTCTAGTAAAATTAATCTCTTTTGAAAAAATGTGTAACAAATTCAAGCTAGGATTTTTTAATCTGTCATGCATGGTCACTAACATACTGAGCGTCATAGTATTTTTGTTTATTAATGATCGTACCGGCCCATAAAATGCGATGATTTTATTATAAAACAACTCTATGTAAATTATTTTGAGCCTGAAATACATTGAATAATGAAAAAATATAGACCTATATATCTTGCATTTTTATCAAGTTTTATTCAATTCTGTTAAAATACATTTTGTTAGAATGCATGGTTATCAATTTTATGCAGTGGATTGTATGTTCAATAACAGTCTCACTGGTGGGGCTGTGATAATACTAATTAGAACCCAAGTCCATGGTTTGTTTAATATTATAATGCAATACGTTATGACGAATAAAATAAACTATAACGATATAAAATACAAAAAAAAACAACTTTCTTTTCAAAATATTCTTTAATTGAGATGGTCATCTTTAAAATAAAATATTAAACTAACATTCTATACACAGTATGTTCAATCAATCACAGGTCGATCGCAAAATAATCTCCTAATGTAGTTTATAATTTTTGTTGTTAGTTTTTTCAACAGTCATTCATTTCTTGTTTTAGCCTTTAAATTCGGTCTTCTGATGCCTCGGCGTCGCTGCGCTCGATTGATTACTATAGATGAAGCCGAAACGTCTATGATTGAAATTCCGCCGTCCTCGACGAAAACCATGAAATCGGTTACGATGGCTCCACTACTGTAGCCGATTCTAGACTCCGTAAATAACTCATGAACATCATCCACCAATTCGTCATCATCGGACTCGTAAATATTACCATCGTCGGAATCGTCGTAGGCCAAATCGAGGTACTCAGAAAATCTCATGTCTGAAAAAAAAATTGAGATTAAAAAAATGATTAAAGGATTGTGAATATTAATTTTAAAAAGCGACATTTGTGAAATGCACATGGAAGATGCGACTGACAGTTCCTTCTAGTATAATTACTAGGAAAATGCAGTCCCCAGGGTAGCATCCTACCACGTACAGAACACAGAGAATGAAGTAAAATCAGGAATTCAATTTAATGTAGGCGAGAGTTGTTGGTGTGGTCTACATAATTACCATCATTTTATCTATTTCATTCTCTCTATAAGAGTTGGTTATATCATGGAGGAATTAAATACATAGGCCTACCATATTTAATTATTTCTCTATTGTCATATTTGGTGTGGATCTCCCTATTCGAGGTGTGGTTAACGATGTTACCTCATGAAGTGTTTAAATGTAGTATTTAAATACTCTTAATTTTGACTGATTGACCCGTTAAAAGTGTGCTTTCATCTACACGTTTTGGAATGTTTAGGCAAGGACTTATAAGGTAAGAATGACTGATGGTAGGCCTATAATCGATGGATATTATACCTTAACTTTGGCAATTAACTGTCAAACTTGTTGTTTCATATAAGTTGAGACATAAATAGAAGGTTCTGTATAAAATCTAAAGTATCGATGCACAATCATTGTATAACTAATATTATTGAATCATAATAATACATTACAATAACATAAAACACGCTTGTGGTTAATCAGAATAACTTCTCGATGAAGCCTGTTAGCTCAACGGCGCTTTGGTCATTTTAGGCCTTCAACGAGAACATGGAAGAAAAAGAAACAAACATACACTTACAATCATCGTGTTGAAATGTTTCGTCGTCGGTTAAATAGTCATCCTCCATCCACGTGTTAAAAGATGATGAACTGTGATACCCTGAACTGTCCATCCTTCTCGTCTCTCTAGTATACTGCTGACGTGCGTTAGATGGTGACGCATTCGACGCTTGTGGCCAAGTGCGTTCCTGCCTCCTAGTATGTTGCTGTGTTGTATTAGATGACGCATGTTGTGTTGTTCTGTGTCCGTGTGTTTGTGAACACATTCGATTGCTAGCACTAGACATTTTGAAAGAATCGCTACTTGTTCGTTTAAATTTAAAGTTTAACTTGAATACAAAAATAGAACTTCTGACTTGACTGTATAGTACTCTTTTATTTACTGCAGAAATTGCCTCGAGGCTTACCAGAAAATATAATAGCCAATCAAAGGTATGGAAATAACAAGCGCTCCTTTGATTGGTCTACATGGTTGCGTTCAAGGCGTGGCTATCGAGGCGTGAGTCACTCATGGACCCGGGTCACCCACTATCAAATCTGGGTCATTTGATTATGCCGCGTCACCTAATTAGCTTGATTTTTTTTAACATAATTATTAGGTGACAACATTTACAACGTTAATATACTTTTGACAAATTATTTGACCAATTTTGAAGCAAAGTTTAAGTTAAGCATAGAAATTAGTGAATTTAAAAGGTAACCATGACCTTTATACAGAATATGATTTAAAAAAAAAAAATACTTCAAAATCTCTGAAAAAGTGAATGGAAGTGTTACTCATTTCTTTGGTAAATTTATGGGTAAATAATAATAGGGTAACTTTTAATTTTCCACCTGATCATGTAAAATCAAAATGAGCAAGTTTTGCATTTTTTCAGAGGACAATACTTTCTTTTAATACTCTATAAGATATACCAACTGTCGCTGTCATAACGTCTTGAAAAACAACAATGAATATCAGTTTGCGTCAGGAAATTTCATAGGAATTATGTTTATTTTGATAGTTATCAAACGAAATAAGTTTTCAAAGATTTACTGGTTTTATACAGCAAAAATCCTTAAATTTTATTTATTTATTTATGAACCTCTACCTTGACGCTGAGGTCTGGTCATTATAGGAGTGTGTACTCAATTTAACTATATTTATTTCTTTGCTAATTTTCAATTGAAACTTATAATTTAGAAACCAAGCAAATCAAAGTTTTGATATCATTTGAATTTGTCTATCAGGCCTATCACAGTGATATAATCTAGACACAGAGGAGAAAAAAAAAAACAAACAAACAAAAAGAAGAAAAACCTAAAAAAAAACCAAAAAAAAACAAAAAAAACAAACAAATCTGTAAGTACATAAACAGCAACTAAAATTAAGGTGAAATGAAATGAGTAATTATTTTATAGGAATACATAAAACAAATATAGACGTATGTATGACTCCATTAATTATTTAGTATATAGTACTACTGTATTAAACCACAGCACAGAGCATCTGTGATTAAACATTAATTTCAAGTATACTTTCTCACGTTCAGACGAACACTCAAATAAACAGTTTTAATAACAGTCTATTTAATTGCTTATTTAATATACAAAAGCTCCTAAACAGTTTTCATTATCATTCTAAAAACAATGGTTGTTGAGATGGGAGGGTTATGTTAGTTGAGTGGAAGGAATTTAACTTTTATATTGTGTTTTACTTTGAATTCTCTGCTTTGTTTAAACTTTATATCTGTTAGGCCTGTGTGACTGAAATAATTTATTCAGGGAAGCTCGGTCTACAAATATTCTCTATAATTATAATCGATGTTTTTGTAGTTTTTGGATTTTGCTAATGTTTGTTTTCTTCTGCCTTCCAGATCCCCACCCAAATCACTCGCAGTACCATTCGTGTTTATTTTATCGGCGGGAAATTTTCCCTATACTTAGTTACGCCACTAGAGTAGGTATAATGAAGGGTATTTATAGGCCTATAACATTAAGGAATTTGGAATCTAACTTTTAGATACTGTGTTTTGTTGTAATGAGTCAATCCTGTGGTATTGGCTCCTTTATAATTGTATTATTAGATGGAAAAGTCGCCGCAAGCACTCTCTGAGATGGATTGGATCGTGAGCATGAAATTATTATCATAGGCCTATTACTTTATTGTTGTTATTCTTCTTACTATTATTATTACGACTGTATACTGTATTACTGTATTAATAATGTGGTGAAGCCATTTTGTACTGTGAAGCATTTTTATATAGCCAAAAATGTAACCATACATCTTCAGTATCAATATAATACTGTATGTACATGATGTAAAAATGTAATGGAATATTTGTGTGTAAATGTTATTAAAATCGCTTATACAGTATTACCAAATACTCTAGCCAATCTTGAATTTTGAGATAAATGTCGTGAGCTGGCGATTACGTTTGCTACACTTGACGAAGGGTACTGCTGTCTGACGGTCCGGTTCCGTGAAAAAAGTTTAGGCCTATACTACCATGAAAAAAATATATATTTAATATATTTTCTCGATGGGCTTACACACTATTTCTGCAAACACTAAGACAATAATGATACAACCACAAAACAAAAGAAATTTAGTATTAATAATCTGGAATTAAGTGAAATTTATTGCTATTCCTCCCAATCTTAAAATATGTACACAGTAGTAAAAATATATAAATTCAGGCCTATGATATAAAAATTTTCAAGAAATATTATATTAGTTGATTTGTGAAAATGGCTGTCAATTAGGCCTATTCTCAAGAAGTAATACTTTCTGGTACGTAGACAACTTGTGTAGAGTCTGGTGCTTGGCAACCGGTGATTGTGGCCGAGTGATGGGTGTTAAGGATCCGCAGGTTGGTGATTCGTCAAAGCAGAGAGGCGCTAAGAAATCGTAGCTAAATACTTCTTCGTAGTCCATGCTCTGATCAAGGTCATCCTCTGTTGTACACGATGATGCGGCCGCGTCCGAAAGAAGTGATACACCTGAAAAAGGGAGATACAATACATGGTCAACTAATGGCTGAGCACATGGTTTATGAACTGGAATTCCCATGGACTAGAGTTGCACTGTGTAATTAAACACATTATCCATGCGGCTAGTGTAGATTAGATGACAAAAACGTCCGTTTGACAGTATACACTAATTCCTCCATGATATACACAGTAAAAAAAAACCAAAATAAAAAACTTTAGCACCATCAATAATATTAAAGGTTTGACATATCAAAAATGTTGACATATATATATATATCTGAATTAAAACCAGAATACTTACAAAGTCGGCCCATTCCAAACTCGGCTAACAGCTCATCAACACTGATGTCTCCACACATCACAGAGTCGTCATCATCGAGGATGCCGCTGAACGTAGTAACACCAAAACTGACATCACCAGAATGCTGCGAATCTGACTCATCCTCCGACCATGTGGACCCACTTGATGAACATGGAAACCGGATTCTGAGGTCTGCATCCATTTCTGTTTGGAGAAGGTCTTCTCTTGACAGATAAGGCAGTTTGTTTCTCCCTTCTTCGATGTCATCTCGAAATGTTGTGGAATACAGCTCATACCATTGGAGTCTTTTGCAACAATCATTAGCAGCCATTTTGTCAGTCAGCGTAATTAATAATAGTGGATAAGATCTCGAAGCACAGTACAAATAGCAGTCTGATAACAAATTGTAGAATAGCTGAGATCAGTGAGATCGCTTGATTTTATCCTAAAGATATTGTAAGTCCACGGTCACGTGACCTTACTGACCGACCAATCAAAAAAGTTGTATTCAGCGCTTGACAGGAAAGCGTTCCAGGGTGCCATGATACCAGGCATCGTCGGTCACGTTTGATTGATGTTCCCCCATGACGTAATAGCGATCTTTAAACAATACGACAACAAGAACAATGGATGCCGTTGAATACTTTCATAGAATCGTGAAAAGCTCATGGAACTATTATCATTAATATTATAATTTGTATCGATATGATTTTGTTATTTTAACAATTATAGGTAACAAATATGTGTTCACAACTAAAAAAAATAAATTTAAAAAAAAACCTGAAAAATAACAAAAACATAGGCCTACCGTAACATACTAAATAGGCCTACAACACATTTTTATACTGTAAATATACCGGTATTTTGTTTGAATCAGGGAACCGTTAATTCATCTGTAATGCAATTTGATTACGTTCACTTTAAGTAATGTGACGTCATAGCCTCATTTAACATTTCTGCCATGGATGTTGGCGTTATAGATATACAATTTTTTATTAGAACCAGTAAAGTTTTGCCCAGACTCAGTCAATGATAAATGGTCATATACTTATATAGCGCCTTCCACAGAAAACAGTTCTTATTTTTGGTAGACTTCAGGCGCAAACTGTTTATTTTGTTCTTATTTTACACACTTTTCAAAGATAGAAAATTATTGTTTACGCTTCCCCGGGCTACCCCCTATCAAATCTGGGCCCTTTGATTAGTCCGTGCATTCATGGTCCGTGTCACCTAATTATCTTGGATTTTGTAACATAATTATTAAGTGATAGGGGCCTAACTTTTCCAACGTTATAATTATTTTGACAAAATTATTTTACCATTTTGAAGCAAGGCTAAAATTCTCAACTCAAGCATTAAAATTAGTGAATTTAAAAAAGTTAACCATAATTTTATACAGAATAATAAAAAAATACTTTAAAAACTCTTAAAAAGTAAATGGAAGTGTTGCTCTATTCATTATTTCGTGTGGGTAATATTTTTTAAGTAGAGTAATTTAGATTTTCCAAATGATCATGTTAAATAAAAATGAGCAAGTTTTTTTTGCAATTT